CATACATTGGGAATACTGCAAGGGGGGGGCAAGTTCTTGGAGAGGGACATCATGCTTGGAAGGGTGGAGGGGCAGTACAAGAGAGGAAGACCCTAGATGAGATGGACTGAAGCAATAACTGGAGTAATGGGGGTAGGTGTGTCCGAGACAATGAAAATGGCTCGAGATAGAACAGGGTTCAGAGCTGTTGTCACAAACGACTCAATGGCAACTAATAACAACAAATGGACCACAAATAATACTCTCAAAAAAAGTCTGGGGCTTGAGGCATCCAAAGATTTCATTCTGATCTGGTTATCTACTTTGGAAATATTTACCATGTCCTCTATTAGGAGATATTTCTGGTGGTTCAAACCTATCAGCATTAGATTTCCTCCAGGGCAATTTACAGCTTCAGAAACCCACTAGAGGGTCAGCCATGACTCAGTTTTGTCTTGACCACAATGACTGAATTGACTGATATTAGGAGGCAATATTAGCACACTAAATAATTCCATAGTTCAGTTCTACAGTTTAGGGGAAAATTAATGCTATACGTTGTTGGAACCAAACTATTAAAATATTGAATATTTGTGGTTCAAAGAAAGGCAAAAGGTATCTTTTCACTAAATTTCAGAGGAGCAATAACAAATTTTTTTCAGTTAAAGCACTGCCTACCATTACTCAATATGATTTTAATATCAGAGACTCCAGAATCCCCTATAGCCTTAATAATAATTTGGTAATAATGTGACTATCCAGGGGAAACATAAAGGGAAAACGTATTTTTGGGGATTGCACTCTCTTAATGATTATTATTCCAGGTGTCGACATTGGGCATATTTCTAGGAGAGGCTATTCTTTAGAGAGGGACATGATGTCATGCTTGGGAAGGTAGAGGGTCAGCAGAAGAGGGGAGGACCCTCAATGAGATGGACACAGTGGCTACAGCAATGGGCTCAAGTGTGCCAGAGATGATGAGGATGGCACAGGATAGGACAGGGATCAGATCTGTTGTTCATAGCTTCTCTGTGACTCAAACGCGACTCATTGGCATTTAACAA